CTGTAAGCCGCCACTCCGGGCAACGGTTGGATGCTGCAGTGGCTCGAGATCACGATAATACGGCTGGAATGGGCTCGGATCATCGGCATCAGTTCTCGAGTGATTCTCATGTTACCCAGCAAGTTCACTTCCACTTGATTCCGGAGCTGCTCGTCTGTTTGCCATTCAAATTCGCCGAAGATCATCTTCGCCGCGTTGTTGACCAAACATCGTAACGCTGAGAACGGTATTTTGTCATATTTCCATATGCAATACTTTTTCCTTGGTCAATTCACGGTTTTAAATGTTTAAGAATTTTTTTATGCTTTATTTCGGATTGCTTGGATTTATTAAAACAATGAACAATATTTTATCGCGTAATTTACCTAAACATTTTTGCGTCAAAACTGTTCGCACGGAACCCGTGAAATTTTCGACGCTTTTAACCTGTGTAATGTCCAAAGGGTAAACGTGTACACCCTCTTGTTCCAGCTTCTTAGCAGCAGGGCCATCGATTTGCAACACGCTGGCAATTACATTGGCACCGAGCTGCCGGCAATGCAGAGCGAGGCTATATCCTAATCCCGAATCACAACCAATCATAACAATGGCCTGATTCGCCGATATTTTCTCCCGGGACTTTGTGCGACTGTACAAGTAAGTACCCCCTAAAAGACAATTTAGAAAGTGTTCCTTCAAATGTCTGTACTGTAGGTTAATAGCGAATTGTAGTATTGTATTCTTTATACTAAGTTTACACGTGTTCGTAATTTGTGATTTGCAATTTAAGTGTATTAAACGATTAAATTACAGCATGCCGTAATATCATTGAATCATCGACTTTCGTGCTGATGGCGCATATTGATAAACGCAGTTTGTCGGTAAGTAGATAAGATAATGAAATGGTGAAATTGTATTTAAAATTCAAAAATATATCTGATACGAATTTTATTGTTGTATTGATTTTTTTTCACGATATAAGATACACTTACAAATATTTCTGTTTACTTATAGTGAAAAATTTGTACAGTATTAATAAATAACGATTAATCTGATTATAAAGTTGTCTCGTTCTTACCGATACAACATAAAGACACTGTTGGTACCAAGTACTTGTATCCCTTGTTCCACAAGTAAAACAGACCAACTGAGGTAGTTGCATCGACCATGAATATTGTAGAGTATCGTTTTATGTACTTTACTAATCCACCACTGATAATTGACTTCACTAGTTTCATTTTGAAATTAACCGATCTACGATCTATAAAATGGAAATCACCATAAAATCACCAGATCGTTACGCATGAGCAACAAGTATTCGAACCCCGAGTGAGAACAAACACATGCAACGAAACGACAGTACCCTCGTCACGATCACAAATGGCTGCTATGGGACGGGAAAAGGAAAGAAATCAAACCTCCCCACTCTTCTACTATGGATCGTGATGGTTCCTTTTCAATTTCAATATAATAGTACTTATCAAATGTTTATATTTCTATCGTTCATCACATTTAATAAAGCAATATTTTTCGCTGGGAATATTGTAAAGAAACTTTTAAGAAAACGAAACAATTTTATAATTATCTAAACATGGTATAATATTTTTGTGTTTATTACAAAAGTTGAGATTCTTCTGATCTCTTTTCTTTTCTTTTACGAATTCCTTGTTTAATATAAAATTGATGTAGGGTAGCGGTTTGATCTGTTAAGAGATTTTAATATTTCATGAACGTACCACGTCATGCATGAATAAACGAAATACGGTAAACACTCGGAATCGCTTCTACCACGGTTACTACGTTCTCCTTCTACAATAAAAATGTTACTAAGTGCTAAAGGATGTATTTTGTTCTCTAGTGTAAATATATTTTCACTTCCTCGATCAAAACAGAAAATATTAGAACCAATTTTGCAAGGTTGTCAGTATTAAATAAATTATAATGCTGCTTTAAAATAAATGTAATAACATAAACAATAAAATAGTGCGCTCTTAATTAAAATAACTATCACAATTATAAAACCCTCTTAGCGCACGACTCATTCTTATTGACTGCAATGGAATTAGCAGCATTTTTTCTTTTCTCTTAAGTTTCTCACATTATAGTATAAAAAACTAACGATTTATATAATCATTACACAAAAGTTCTTGTAAATTTATAAGTCTTTACAGAGTGAAATATACAGCTTAGTGTAGAAGGCATACTTTACATAAAAATTAACAAATATTAAGGCTAACAGTACACTGTACTTTAAGCTAATTATTCTCTCAGATTAAAATCATATTTCGGTTAATACATATCTGTTTCACTGCAGTCGATAATTGTTTCGCTATTTTACAAGCTTCAAATATTACTTCGACACGCGTTATATGTTTCGCTTGCGTTATGCTCCCATGATTTCCCTCAAAATTTACTTTGAGATCCAGAGTATATTAAATACCAGCCGGTTTATCATCTACCATAATGTTAGGATCCGCGCGAAGATCGTAACTCGGATCGCCATCCGTAGCCATTCTGCCAAGCCATGAAAATAAAATTAACATTCCAATGAAAGCTAATATACCCATGACACCTATCACTGCATATTTTTTGTATAATGATCCAGGTGAGTTTCTACGCCGTGTCGGTGGACTCACTATCAATTTCCACGACCTTAAGAACCACTCAATGGCCGACTTTCTTCTGTATTTATTTTCATCATGATCAAATGATATATCCTTTGGATCATCATAAGCTTCACAAACTTTTCTCGATGTTGACTGAGACAATCCCATGGACGAATCGATATTTACAATTGAATAGGGCGGCCCGACTTTTTGATTATTTAAATGCACATTATTTATGTTAGTATGTACTGAATTAACAGTACTACTCGAACGTGATGTAGCTGTTGTTTGTGACGTGGCTGGCAATGCATGATTCTGATATGAAGTAGTTTCAGTTCTTAATGATGGACGTTCTTGCTCTGGCTTTTGTTCTCTATCTTCACTGAGCTGTAAAAAAATATTTAATTGTATCCAATGTTCCATACATATTGCTCTTCATTGTGAACAAATGCTTAGAGTACATACTAAGGGTAAACCTAAGCCAGCACGTCCCCAATTTACTCCAGCTAATTTTTCACATAATACATCTGCTACAAGAGATACCAATTTTGGGTCTGGAAAAATACGTTCCTTACAACTTGGACATGTATATCCTGCTGGTGCTGTTGTAGCTGGTAATTCTCTGCCATATTTATCCAAACATGCCCAATGAAACATGTGGTAACATGTTAATCGAACACAATCTCCTTCATTTAGATTCACTGAGCATAATGCACAAACTGGATTATAATCATGATCATGGAGCCATAAAATATACGACTGGACAATACACTGCAAAAAAAAAATACAAATATTTAACACCTTCGATAAAAAAAAAGCGAAAGTAGTACATTATTTAAACAGAACCCTTTTAACTAAATTTCTTTATTTAACATCGTCTTTTATCAAAATAAATGATCGTAAGCTAAATTACATATATTTTTAAGGACGAAATAAAATACCTTTGGATGATTTATAACCATGCAATGTTCACAAACATTGACATGGTGTTCAAAACAAAATAAATTTGTTACTCTTCTTTTCGGACACTTGCACAACCCCATATTTCAATAAAATAGTGCGTTTGTTACATTAAATAAATTAGAACAATTCAGTGAAAGACTAATTAGTTAAAAACACTTTTACAAATGAATACTATCACATGACATATCGTAGACTGACGGCAACTTAAACTGTATTATGCGACACGGCTTCCATGTTTCATCGGCCACGTCCTCTGACATTTTCTACGAAAGATACAGAAGAATGGACCAATAAGATTCTTTAATACGCCGAAATGGACAAATGAACATTCCTCTCCACAAGTTTCTAATCATCTTGTTTGATTTAACTCGAAGAAAATGTTTGTTTGTAAAATTAATTTTCGAAAAACAAAATTTTCTTAAATAAAAACAGCAAATTTCTTTATGGAAATATTTGAATAATGAAAAATCTCTTAAATTCATTTTTAAACTGTTCATAACACTGCCCGATGTGTTTCTCCAATAGAATAAACCTTTAGTTTGATATCATATTAATCAGATAGAGTTGTCTATAAATTATAATAAAATATACATGTAACGTTTATGATATTTAAAAAACATCATACTTCAGGCATCTTTAAAATGGCTGCGTTGTATCGTGTTATAAACTATTTAGGGAAAAATATATTATCGATAGGACAAAATAGGAATATATCATTGTCTGCAACGACGCGTCTCAAAGAAAGTGAGCTATATCAAGTAAAAGTATTAACAAAAGCATGACATCACTCAGTATTTATTTTGCCATTCATAACCTCTACTTTTGAATTTACAGTTATCGAAAAGAAAGAAGGGAATACTATAATTTTCGAAGCCGTGATAAAAGAGGATACAAATGACGAACGATTTTTAAAACCTAAAAACGGGGCATGTCCTATATGTTCTTCTGGTCTTGATATTAAACATACAGTAAGAGCTTGATACTTCAATATATGTACGATTTATTTTATCTTTGGGTAATTACATTGATTTTGTAGGATGTTCTTATTTTAAATCAGTTTGTCAGATCCGATGGTTACATATTACCACGTAGGATTACAGGTCTTTGTAATGTACAACAAAAAAGAATTTCATCATTGATCATAATGGCTCAGAGTGCAGGTTAAGAGCAATTACAATAAAGAATAATTTACAGTTGCATTTTTTACAATACACGCTACAACGGAATATTATAATGTTTAGGATTAATGCTGCGAGCAGATCCCAAGGGTGGTCTACTTCATCCCTTAAGAAGAAGAAAGTGGAAAAAATTCAATACCTACTTTGATGAATCTACCATAAAAGCTAAATATAAGTAATAATTTGTACAGAATACAATAAATAATTTTAGAACATCGTTGCATTTTAAATTGCCTATTCTTTTTTTTCGATTTTTGAATCGGTCCAGAAACCCTACATTTGTCAATAATAATTTTGCACGTGGTTCCGCTTTGCTATACGATTTGAAGTGTGTATATACTTATAGGTTAGGAATCATGTTGACATGTAGATTAATAAAAAGTTCATGGTGTAAATGTCAAAAACGATACGTGTCAAAAGGTGCAGCAATTGTAAAAAAGGAACATGGAGAACAAGAAATCGCAAAAATTCGAAATATTGGAATTTTGGCACATATCGATGCTGGTTCGTTCACTGTGCTTTTTAAGATAACCTATTAAAGATTTCTATTTTCGTAAATTTCACAATGACTTTCCAGGAAAAACTACCACAACGGAAAGAATGTTATATTATTCCGGTCTGATTAGGCACATGGGAGAGGTTCATCATGGAAATACGGTAACAGATTACATGGACCAGGAACGTCAGCGTGGTATAACAATTACCTCTGCCGCAGTGACGTTTCAATGGAAAAATTATCGTATCAATTTAATCGATACTCCTGGTCATATAGACTTTACTATGGAAGTGGAACAAACTTTGAGAGTATTAGATGGGGCAGTAGTTATATTAGATGGTAGTGCAGGTGTTGAAGCTCAGACATTGACTGTCTGCAGACAAGCAGATAAATATAGTATCCCTAGAATTATTTATGTAAATAAAATGGACAGAGCAGATGCTGATTTTGACATGAGCTTAAAGTCTGTTCAATCAAAGTTAAACACAGTAGTGTTACCTACACAATTTCCAATAAAGGAAAAAGGGGTTCTGCAAGGAATTGTGGATGTTATTTCTTTGGAGAAGTTCATGTTTGATAAAAAAGACATGGGAATGAAACTTACAAGATTAAAATTATCCGAAAATGAGGATAAACATTTATGGGAAATAGCAAATGAAAGACGCCAAAATTTAACTGATAAGTTGTCCAGCATAGATGATGAGTTAGCTGACACCATCATAGAGCAAGAATCTTTGGATACAATTACCTCACAAATGTTGCATAACTCCTTGTACAGAGCCACTATAAGTAGGAAAGGTGTTCCTGTACTTCTAGGTAGTTCTTACAAAAACATAGGAGTGCAACCTTTAATGGACAGTATTCTCTTGTATCTACCATCACCCAATGACAATAAATATTCATCACATTATAATAGCTTCGCCAAGAATCTGTCTGCCAGAGCTTTTAAAGTCGTTCACGATAAGCAAAAGGGACCCATCACTTTTTGTAGACTGTACAGTGGTAGCTTAGAAAAGGGCACGAAAATATACAACGTTTGTAGGGAAGAAAAAGAGACGGCTGGCAAATTGTACATCGCCTTCGCGGACGACTATCAAGAAATATCAAGCATCACTCGTGGCAATATTGCGGCAGTCACAGGATTAAAATATACAATGGCTGGTGATTTGATAACGTCTACTCTAACTGCAGCAAACAATGCAAAACAAAAACTAGAGGCACAGAAAGATGTTAGACCAGAAGACATAGAAAAAATATTTAATTGTAATACAAAAACATTGGAGCCAGTTTTTTTCTGTTCCATAGAGGCACCATCATTATCCACACAAACAGCTTTAGAAGCAGCTCTACAGCAACTTGAAAGGGAAGATCCCAGTTTGAGGGTATCTCAGAATGAAGAAACTGGCCAAATTGTTCTTGCAGGCATGGGTGAATTGCACCTTGAGATCATTAAAGAAAGAATCAGGACAGAGTACAAAGTTGATGCTGACTTAGGTCCTTTACAAATTGCTTACAGAGAGACAATAAAGGAACCTATTAAAGATTCTTTCTCGTGCGAATTTAAGATAGGAAATGCTAATCAAAAAGTCACTGTAATCATGTCATTGATACCAAATTACCAAGGAAGTGAAACTTTGCTGCTAGACAACTCATCAGATTGTATCAGTAATATCAGTGCTATACCTTTGAAAATTATGAAAGCGGTGAAATCTGGTATACGGTCGGTTCGTTTACACGGACCCAAATTAAGTTATCCAGTTATAAATATGGGTATCAAGTTGCATTGGTTGGAATATCTATCTAATACAACGCCGTCGGTAATCACTGCCGCTGTTTCACAATGTGTTAGAAAGGTAAACATTTATGGGCATTGCTTTACAATTCTTAGTTGCTTTTTAAGAAAATAATAAAAATGTAAGAAATAGAAATGATGAACGATCGTAGGGAAAATGACGTAGTAACCTCAACAAGCAGCCATCTTTGATTCTAACCATAGGATCAATCGATTACACGTGAAGATAAATCAATACGTCAATTTTATTACAATTATTTAACATTGAAATCACGTTAACGGACAATTAATTAATAACCGTATCGCTTTCGTTACGTTTAGTCATCTCCACGTTCTTTCTTGTTACTGGTTTCGCAGAACTAGATTTCAATTCAGACAGTACGAGCAAAGATTTCGGTTTGCGTTCCAACATTGTCCTCTTCGTAGTCTGTTTCAACGAATCAGTATTGTTCGACAATTCATCCTTAGGAAGGAAGTACCTGTGCCTCCAATTCTCTTGTATACTCTTCACAACGTTGTTCTCTTTACGTTTCTCTTCGTTGCATATGTAGGTCTCCGTGAACGTTCTCAAAATGCCAATTTTCTTCAGTGCATCTTCAGAATTGAAAGTGGAATTGAACGGTCTTTGTTTCGGGGCTAGTGTTGGAAAAGCGTACGGTTTCAACCTGGTACTCTGTTTAAGTTCAAAAGTACGCGGCAATTTGGTGTTTTGTCTGTCCAAGAAGTCACTGATCAGTATGTCAGTTTTCAGCTGCAAATTCTTCAGAAAATTCTCGTCAATTATCCTCTGTCCAGCAACATTCTTAGGACTGCTATTTCTCGTTTCACCGCTGCTTAAATTCTCGCCGCTTAATTGTCTCGTGATCCTTAAAGTATTGCCTCCCTTAACCTTACTTTTGTTCCTTTTCGAACTAGTCTGCGTCGATCTTTCTACTTTATGAATACCCCATTTCAGCATGTACGAATCGAGGAAACTTTGGTATAATTTTGGACAAACTTCTTGGTCCTCGTAGTGTTTGTCTATGAAATATATTCGACGCAGACGACAGTTCCCGCAAATTTGCAACCTCTGCGTGACGGCATACTCTCTCTTAAAGGCGGTTTGCGTTAGGTTAGACAGATTCAGCTCTAACTTGTTCCAACCGGTTTCTAATTTCGCTCTCACGCGACAAATCACACCCCTGGAGCTTTGTTTCTCGTTCTCCGCGTTGGTGAATTGAAAGTGATGAAGACAATTTTGAGTATCCGCAACCTGATTTGTGTTTCACGAATTTTCTGTCGTTAGATACTTCGAGGGATATGAATAACCAAAAAGAGATTTCTAAGTGTTAAAAAGTACATAGAAAAATTACCTGCACTTGTATACGACACTGTAGGTTCAAGTTTTTTATCACTATAACTAGAATTGGCAATTCGATATTGAGAAACTGAGAGGAATCAGGGGGACAGATGACGGAGGTTCCATAACCATGAGGCTGTTCGAAGTCCTGTATCTCGATAACCTGTTCACCATTTACCACGAAAAAAAAGATTAATTCAAAATCTACTCCGAATCAATTGATACTCATCCACGTTGACGTACATTTTCTAACAAGTCCGAATCCAAGATCTTACGAATACGTCCTGACTGAGAATGTTGCTTACTCCAATATTCTAAGGGTTTATCGCTGATACTGTATAAGAGAGACACATATCCATCAACCATGAAATTATGGAATTATTTCAGGAAAACCAACGGCATTTATGCGTACTTATGCTTTAGGATTTACATTTTTCCGTTCGCTTGTTTCTCACATGCGGCCTACTTCACTGCTTCGATTTAACAAGTGAAGTTTGTCGGCAAACGAAAAAATGAGGATTTTAACTTCGTAAGAATACTTCACGATTTATAAATGGAACGATTTTTTAACAGTGAAAAATTTGACGAAGATAAATCTACTGTGCTGTATTTTCTCAAAACTTTCAAACTAATCAAACCCCCTTAGATACTTTCAAGTATAAAATTTATTCTACATTTAATCATTGCTCATCCTTTATATTACAGTTGATGCGAGAAGCTGAAGTCACACTCATGGAGCCCATAATGCAATTGGAAGTTGTGGTAGCCTCAGATTATTTTAGTGTTGTCCTCAAAGACTTGTCGAAGAGGCGTGCAGAAATACGATACATCGACGAACGTGGACCAAACAAAGTAAATATACATCTCCTCATTATGAGAAAGTATTAATCGACAAAAAAAATTAATTGAAACATGTGAACAGGTGGTACATTGCGTTGCTCCACTCGCTGAGCTACTGGGATATTCAACAGCAGTGAGGGTAATTTCATCAGGACATGCAACGTTCACGTTAGAATTCGATCATTACGAATTAATGGACTCGATCAACGAAGCAGAAGCGATTAAACGTGTCACTGGTTTCTATTAGTTAAATAAAGAAAGGAAGAACAGCTTCCATGAGAAAAGAACAACACATACACGATGCAATGTTGCTTTGTACCAAATATCATTTGTATTAAGAAATTAGCTATTTAATTGTACAAAGATAGAAATGTCCCTCTGGTCTCGGGATTAAGATTAGCGTATTCTTTACGTGGCAACGCATTAAGGCAGTCCTATGTGCCGATTTCTCATACGTCGGAAAAGACTTACACATCTAAGTAAAAGTAACAATTACGATAATACACGAATAATTAAAACACATCGTTATTATATCTTGGACAATTACATGCTCGGTTGTTCCTTTATTGCGTTCGTTTCTAATCAAAATATATTGCAGCATTTCGTTTATCGATGGTGCGTTTACACAATCTCTTCTTCTTCTTCGTCTTTTTACTTACAAAAATCGCCGATTCGCGGCCGCCGATCACGGGGCTGAAATCGCGCAGCTCAGTAAAACGATTTCTTTCGACTAAACGATCTTTATACAAATGTAGAATCATCAATGGCGATATCAATAGTTAAAAAAAAAATTGACAAAATTGCAGATGAAAGAAAGTCTTATCGAAAAGAAACACTGGCTCAGCCTCGAAAGCGGCAGCCGCGTATAAATATATTAATATTGCTTAAAGATCATGCAAAAATGTCATACATAATAAAATATATGTATGTATATATATTATATGTACGGAGGGATTACATGTTATGGGGTGAGAGACTTTTGCAAACATGTCATTTGCACGTAAAAATCTGCCGCATCCGGTTAAGTTACGCGTTTCAACCGGATGTGACTTCGAAAAATACTTCGCCTTTTTCTTCTCGTACGTTCATCACACGCGATTTACACCCATAGAAACGCGCCAGTAACATGAGAAATTCCATCTTTCACAACCTTTCCACTTTTTTGCCTTCAGTTTTCGTTTTATTAGCCTCAAAAATGAATTTATCAAAGTTACTTTGCACGGTAGATGCAAAAAATGTGTTGTTCGACGATAAGGCTTTCTGTTTTGTAATTATTTGTTTACGATGCGTGAATCCATGACAGAGACGCAATACTGAATACCTCGACGCGGTTTCTATTTATTAAGAAATAATCATGTCTCGTCGTAGAAGTTACCAGGAATCTCACGGACAACGGTAACTCAAGTTATTATCTCTATACAATCGAATAGTACATACATATATATATATATATATAACGAACAGTGTCATCGTACCGATATTTTATTGTATCATCGTTTCTCCACATTACAAACGAGTGTCCTCGAGGGCCTCAAAAACGCGACGAGACCCCTCGACTCTATTGTTACAAACAAAATTCATCTTCAAACACCGTCGGAAATGCAATCGAACGCGTGTGTATCTGTGTGTACACGCCTATTTTTCCATTTAAAAATCCAATGAAACGTTCGAACTACACGCGTTCGCTCTGTTTTGTCTCTTTTTCAAAAAAAGACTCTAAACGATCAAGAAGAGAAATGACAAATTCGTTGTAAAAGATATTTCTTTTTTCTCCCAAATATATGTATAGTTATAATACTGCCCAACGAACACACGTGTCGATCTCAATGACAACCGTAGTAAAACAACAACTCTCTATCTCTCCGGTGATGTAGTGTGTGTGTATTTGTGTGTGTGTTTTGCGAAAGAAAAGAATTCTCAACCATCGATCCTTTTTCTCTTCATCTCTTCTCTCTTCGTCATGGTTCCTCGTGTCCTCTGTACACAGCTTCCCATCATCGATTGCTTTTTTAAATCAAACATGGCGACGTGGCGATTTTATTTTCTCATTCGGGATCGTCCTCGTTCGATCCGTACTCGAGATCATCTTGGCGTCACAAACTCACTAATTTCGGTGGATTCGCATCCGGAGAGCTGAGATCGACGGCTGACAGGTTGTTTCTTTGTTGCGTTGAACAGGATGGTATCAAGGGTGTGGAGACGGGCGTGAGGCCGGTTCCGCCCTCCATTAACGATTCGAAGTTAAACGGTATGCCACTTGTCGGCGTTGTGATAGGCATACCGGCGACATCTAGCGACGGTTTCATGAAAGACGGCGTCTCGACCGTTTTGAACGTGAGCGTGTCCGGCCTCTCTTTCGGTTCGCTGAAGATCGACAAGGAGTTCGGTCGATTGTTATTGTCGAAACCGACCGGCAACGAGTTCGGTCTGTTTGGTCTCGTCGCGGCGTTCAACGTGTCGCGTTTCGTCGTGTCTGCCGCGGCTGCATCCACGGCGAATTGAGCGGCCGCCGCGACGAATTTATCCTCCGTCGGAAGCTCTGGCTTTATCACAGGTTTCACGTCCGGAGGTGAATCGGAACGAAGTCGACAAGCGGCCATATGAGCCTCCAGGATGAACTCGAGCTCGTCTTTGGCCTGTTGCAGCTGGTGGATCTCTTCTTGCAAGCACTGTTTCTTTTGTTCCAAACCCTCAGTCTCCTAGTCAAATATAAATATGTGTTAATTCATTGCACATAGCTTCAAGGCTGGAGTAAGATGTTTTAAACAGGTGGATCCGTAAAAACGTATCGAGTATATTCTTTTTCATTAACCTTTAATTAGTTAAACTGAATGTCCCTCAGCATCCCAGTTGTGTTATTTGTGGGATGTTTTATGACAAGCTGTCCTGTACCTTCCTTTTAAAAACATTTATCCAATTCGTTATGAAAATAGAAACGATACTTCCTCTAGTAATAACAAGCCAAAGAATACATTAAAAGTAAACAAATTTTGAAATAATTAATTTTTATTTATAATTACGTATAAAATTATTTAATACTAGTTTTATCGAGGAATAGTAAGTACACTATGCAAAAGAATGATAAAAAATGTATAGAAGGTGCTGAGGTCACTCCAACTACGTATTACGTCATACTTTCAAAAATGGACGAAATTAAAAAAAAATTAGGAATCCACGTTTCTCGGTGTCTCTCGGATGAGACTTACTTCTAACAGGGCATTGGTATGATCCATTCTTCGCTTGCGACATCTGGCCGCTGCCATTTTATTTCTCTCCCTGCGGATCTGTCGTCGTTCCTCCTCCTCGGGAGTCATGCCAATCGTCCTGGTGGGCCGTCTACCGCCCATGTTGCGCCTCGCCGGCAGCTGTGGCCGAGTCTGTTGGCTCTCCACGAGGGTGGTGTTGGTTGCCACGGGGGCGGCGGCGGTGGTGGTAACAACGTGGTGCGCCGTCGTATTTTGCGTTTGTGCCGGCGTCGGCTGCGAGGGTTCCACCAAAGGCGGGACGAACCCTGCCTCGCGACTATGCGACGCTGACTCGCTGGTCAGCTCTAGAAACGTCTGCTCGATGCTACGGAGCGTCGTCGGCGTCAACGTCGGCGTCGTCCTGGTCGGCACTCCGCTGTGCAGTCCGTCCAGGGAAACGAGCTGTAATTACAAACAAAAATTTCACATGTTAATTTTAAGCATTCATTTTTTGTCAATTTTTAATTAAAAAAAATTGTAAAGAAGAGATAAATAACGACTGGTTTTTATTTTTCTTAATAACTGTCTTAAATTTTTCACGATGCCATTTGTCGATCTATATCGGCCATAAGGTAAGCTAATTTTTTGAATGTTTGTACTCGACGAATAACAGTTTTCTTTATAAACACGACACAATTTTGACGATCAGTTTTTTTTTCGTTTACTACCTATGTAGAATCACTTACGTGCAATACACGAAGTATACTGAATAGTATACTAAACCCTCGACACTGTTACTGCGTTTTAATTACACGCGTCATTTCAACACCTGCGCGTATTAAAAATAATAACACTTTCTTTGTCTAAACGGTGAAAAAAACACTCACTAAGCGCTGTCTAAACGTCAGCTGGCCTGATTACGTGGAATCAGTATAAAAACGAGGAAAAGTAACGACCAATACATTTTTCTCTCTGTCAATAATAGCAGCGCACACAGACGCGCGGGAGACGAGAGACTGGCGCGCAGATCGGTTGACCATGCAACACAAACGTAAAACACGAGTTTGCCAGGTGCGGAGAGATAACAAAACAGTTAGGAAAGCGATGTTTTTCGTTGCTGGCTGTGGAACGCGATTGCCTTTCAAACAAACTGCGCATTAGAGATCACCGCGTTGTTTATTACCACCCAGCCAGATAAAAGAAGTTCGTTGTATTATCGACGAAATTGTCTGGTGGCCAACGAAACCAATTCCAACGAACTGTTTTCGCTCCATGAAAAAAAGAGGGCGTTGCGCAACTGGTGAAGAGAAAAAAAACGAGGAAAAAGAAGCAACAGCCACAGAATGACGGAAAGGTACGCAAATGCTTCTATCATATGTTATCGTTTCCTTTCCGTCTTGATATCGCGGGGACTCGTCACTAATCCAGTTAGATATTCCTGGTGATAAAAATATCCATGATCCAATAGCCGATAAGCTATCGGCACGAACTAGATCGTCTGGGGGTTGTGTTTCAAGGTGTATACGCGCACATCTTTATCGGCCGAGTATCATCATCGCTAAAATTACAACGAGTTATCGCGGCGTTCCTAATAATTATCCACCGATCTGACCTCCGTTCTCCGTAATCTCCGATCTTGAATTCTGTTTACACGTTCCAATCTTGGTTACCTTGCGTTCAAAAATAAAAAACGATCATGGACCTTTTTCAGAGTAACGTTCATTTAACGACCTTACGTGACGCTTATAACCGTAATTTCAATAAACGAGAGATTCTCGTAACATCACGATATTAACAATAAGATTTAATCTTTTTGCATAAAGTATGAAACACGTGCGCGGAATACATGGTGTGGATACACATCTCTGTGTTATATCGACGATGTTTAGGGGTATACGATCGAACGCGCCACCTGTCGCGGGTCTTCGTGCTTGCCGGTGCGCAATAAAATTGAAATCGTCAATGTAGATATCGGCGTCGAGTAAAACCGCCTTTGCACCTATGTACATATGTGTTTCATAGCACGATCGTCGTGGAAACAATCGTAAATACAGCTCGATGGATTTCATCGACGATATAAAAGAATGCGTACGTCCAACTACGGACGATATTAATGACTTGGCTCGAATCGCAGCTCACGTAGCGACAACCTCGCGTTCGCCATTATCGCGTCGACCAATCGGCAGACGGGAACGCGCGCGCGACGTATTATACCCGGCGCACACGTTTCCCAGAAAACACAAAAGGACGCAGGAAGGAGAAGAAGCGCGTCCTTCACTCTCGTAAGGAGAAGAGACAACGACACCGTGTGCGACTAACAGACAGGCCTATCATTTCTAAAATTACGAGTCGTTCTGATCGTTAACGAAGGCCGATTCGCGATAGATAGTCACACACAAGTACACGTCAAAAGAATTGAACGATTCCCAGGGTTCAAGCATCATTGCACAGGAATTGCGCATCGAGAGGCTGGTGTTCGAATGAAAACGACGATCGTGATAGATCGCTAGTGACCCCGTCGGTCGTAATCTCATAATTAACTTAACGTCATCGCTCGCTATACTTGATCTTTCTTTTTCTAGGTTAGGTGTAAAAGTTCGTTGAACCTCAAATGTGATCGTCATCGTTTAAATGATAAAACTAACGTGTAAGACATTTTTCTACTTCATCTGGCTTCTCTTTTATGATTCCTTCGTTTCGGCATGAAAAAGTTCCGAATTAAGATCATTAACCTCGTAAACTTCTGCTGCTTCTGAAACTTGTTCTAAAATGTCTACTATTATCCTTCATCTAACCAGCTCTCACTAACACCTAACAAAATACGAGTGTGCTTCATAAATTAAATTTCAAGAGAGGCTGCTATACAAACCTCCTCCACTTTTGGTCGAGAATTTATCATGCATGTATTTATAACACGATTACGGTTCATAATCGCGGGGCCACCGCGCTCGGTTCTGTGTCATCGCTAAAATTACTTAGCATACCAACGGGTAGCGACTTTAAGAGAAGAGTAATCACCCACCCACAATATTCACGGCCCACCTATTCGATATTGGCGCGCGTGAAAACTTTCGGAATGCTCCGCGAGATAAACATAGGCGTCTCAAAATCGCTTTCGCGCGCGCGTCACCAATTTCTGAAATTTCGACTACGGGGGTACTTCCATTTCTCCTTCTCCAAACACGAGAGAATTTTCGTCCGTTTTTTTTTCTGTATAAAAATTTATGGCAGAGAGGAGGTTAATTCATCGCCTCGACCTTAGGGCAAGTTCGTAATTTACTGTAAGCCTCGTGTGATGCGCATGCGCATAAATCAGTTGCTATATAACCACACTTGGAAGATGTCTCATACTCGCCACGGTTTCTCCGATTTGGCACAATCCGAAATTTACGACCGCGATGACCATCGAGAGAAAAAGCGATTCCGTTATTACGACGATTATTGAAGGCTCGATAAATTTAGAGGCAAGCGCAAAGGCGCGGTATTTATCAGCATGTAGAGCCTATCGAGCTTTATTTACTTCTTATTGCGCTGGCACACTCTATCGGACCGAAAATGCGTCAATTGACAGAAGGTGTGGCATCATCGTACCATAGTTACCATTTGAAGAGAAAAAAAAAAGGAAACCGATGTACTCGATTTCGTTTATCTACGGAACACAAAAACCGACATCCGTTTATTTGCAGTGGAAGATAATCGAGTTCACGATCTAGAGACTCGGTTCGCTTTTATCTGTCGCGAAAACACCGAAATGATTCTATCCTTTTTATTGCACTTAACTCGTGACACCTCTGGATTATTCAATTAAGTATCATTTAATCCCAGTGATTAATAAATTGATTTTAATAATCTCAATG